TAGTCAATTAAAAACATACCTTCCCATGAGGACATTTTTCTCTCCCTCCTCCTTTTTCCTAAGACGGAGACTGCCTTCAAAGTAAGCTTTTCAAAGCTTCATAGCAAGAAGCAGGACCTCTAGTTTATTTAACCTTGAAAAGACCATCAAGCAAGATATTCTTTGCTAAGGAACTGAGCTTTTTATGGAATTGTCTCTATCTACAGTGTTCTTCTATTTAGCTGCAAGATTTCTTGTGATTTTTTTCCTTTCAAGTGTGTCTGATTTTTAAATATCATTACAAAGTTAATGGCTATAAGAGGCATCATGGTGTAGATTCACTTATATTTCCTCAATCACAACCTCCATATTTTAAGTATATATATATATATATATATATATATATATATATATATATATATATCTTAATTTTATCTGTTTTAATTTGGTTTCTCTGTGCATTTTCTAGCTGTGTTTGTCCTGGTGCTCCCACCTTCTTTGCTGCCAGTGCCAGTGCCAGGATCAGATTGCTCTCAACTTTCCTTATCACCATGAATATTTACAGTGGCTTTAAGCATCCTATTTTTGTCCACTGCTCCATGTTCCTGAAACTGCCCAATGGGTTCTTGACTACTGCCTAGACTCTTTTGGAGTCAGGGTGTCACTCTGTCACCCAGGCTGGAATGCGGTGGTGCAATCTTGTCTCACTGCAGCCTCAACGTCCCCTGGATTCAGGTGATCCTCCCACCTCAAACTCCCAAGTAGCTTGGACTACAGGCACACACCATTATGCCTGGCTAATTTTGTAGCGACAGGGTTTCGTCAGGTTGCCCAGGCTGGTTCAAGTCATCTAACTGCCTCAGCCTCCCAAAGTGCTGGGATTACAGACATGAGCCATTATGCTTGGCTCCAAAATCTTCAAAGCCTATCTAAACTGTTCTCTTTGATTTCATGCCACAAAACTGGTTAGCTCTACCTTTAGAATATATTTAGAATACGACCTCTTTTCATCACCACCCTGTTGTCACCCTAACTAAGCAACCATCATCTCTCAAAATAAATCCTAATGTCCTTAGGGCTTTTTCTAGGCCTACTCTTTATGTCCCAGCCTACCTGTCCAGGTGCATCTTCTCCATGAATTTCTGTCTCACAGAATGCATGTACCATTGCACTTTGTAATGTCAATCTGTCCCACCAGACAATGATCAGGCCCTTAGTTCTCTATCCCCATTTACAGTGCACTCACTGAGCACAAATTTAGGGTTTCAATAAATGGTAAGTGAATGAATAATGATTGAATGAATGCTACAATATTGACCATAATGGATAAAGAGATATATTAACCTGCTTGACAGAAAACTCGAGGTTATTATTAGCTACATTCTCTGTGCGTGCCAACTGGAAAGAATTTCACACTTGCTTTGATGTGTTCATTTTTCTCCTGGATTCAGTTGGTAAAATTAGATTGTCTTTTTTCTTTTTAAAGACTGATTAATTTAAACAAACGGGCATGTGTAGTGACCCTCACAGCACACTGACCAACTTAGTTGACTCCAATAATTCAATATATACAAAGAAAGCTTGTGAGGAGCTAATGAAGCCAACAAAATCAGTTCTAAAAGTTTAGAAGGTCCTTAATAATCTATATATTGTTAAATTATTTCAAAATTGTTTATAAAGAGATTATGTAGATGTTACATATTCCTGGATAACTTAAGGTGGCAGAATATAATCTCTCAAAAGTTTTGGTCATTTTATTTTTTTATTTTTTATTTTTTTTTTTTTTTTTTTTTTTTTTTTTTTTTTTTTTGAGACGGAGTTTCGCTCTTGTTACCCAGGCTGGAGTGCAATGGCGCGATCTCGGCTCACCGCAACCTCCGCCTCCTGGGTTCAGGCAATTCTCCTGCCTCAGCCTCCTGAGTAGCTGGGATTACAGGCACGCACCACCATGCCCAGCTAGTTTTTTGTATTTTTAGTAGAGACGGGGTTTCACCATGTTGACCAGGATGGTCTTGATCTCTCGACCTCGTGATCCACCCGGCTCGGCCTCCCAAAGTGCTGGGATTACAGGCTTGAGCCACCGCGCCCGGCAGTCATTTTATTTTTTATGTAATTCTACTTGATATTAGTTCAGAGAGGTCCAAACTTAAAATTAATGTGTATTTCCTTTATGAGAGTGACTTCATGATTTGCATTCACATTAATTTTCAACAGCCTTACTTACAATTGTTTTGAATTAGAGTTTTGTAATTAGGACTTAACATTTAAATCATATTCAGGAGACTGTGCATATGGTTAAACAGACTGCCAGAATAAATTATGAGCTAACAAAATAGTAATCTATTACTTAAAGGCATTTGCTAAATCAGATGTTTATCCTTTTACCTCTTCTTACAAAAATATTCTCTTAGGTTTCTCAGCCACAGTTCATCCCCTCATTTGACCCACAGCACTGGCTCACAGTGAAGTCACCTTCACCATTCCATCCCAGACCTTCAAACCTTTGCAAAATCCTGTGAGCCAATGACAGAAGGGGGAAATCCAGTAAAACACTAACATTTATGTTCCTGCTAACCTGAGGTCTGCTCTCTTTTCCCAAAAGCATAGCATAGCCTCCAATAATGCATTTTTCAACTTAAAATATCACCTTCCCAATATTCTATTTAGAAATTGGCAAAAACTATAAAATCTGGTGTTTACACATTTGCTTTTGAAATTTGAGCATCATTTTATTGGGTTTTGTTTGTTTTTGGTTTTGTTTTTTTGCCTGACGACCCTTCCATATTCCATTGATGCCCAACTTTTCATATCCTATCATTGTCTGTTTGCCTCTAATGCAAGGTTTCACAACCCCAGTACTACTGAGATTTGGGGCCTGGTGACTGTTTGTTGTGGGGCTGTTGTATGCATCACAGGATGCTAGCGTCCCTGAGCTGTGCCCACCAGAGATGCCAATAACAACTCCTCCAACCCCCAACCTGGTTGTAACCAAAAGTGTTTTCAGATGCTATCAAATGTCTTCTGGGGACATAGGGGGAAGGACAAGTTGTCCCAGTTGAAAACTGCAACTCTGTGATGACTGAGTTAAAGGTTTCTCTGAATGACACAGCTGGGATTCAAATTCTAAGATCTCTAGGACAGATCATCTTAATCCACAATGCACTGTCTTTCCCCCAAAATGAGAAATCTTGCCCTAGATAGATGCCAAATTAGCCACAGTGTGCTCCTGGAGATCATGAGTGTGATTACATGTGATGGTTAAGTGTATGTGTCAATTTGGAGAGTATTTTTGGATGAGATTAACATTTAAATCGGTACTCTGAGTAAAGCAGATTGCCTTCCATAATATGGGTGTGCCTCATTCAATGAGTTGAAGGCCTAAGAACAACAAAAAGATTGGCCACCCCAGTCAAGAAAGACATCCTAGCAGACTGTCTTGGTATGGAAATGCACCATCAGCTCTTCTGGGTCTAAAGTCTCCTGGCCCACACTGCAGATTTTGGACTTGCCAGCCTCCACAATTGTACGCACCAATGCTTTATAATATATATACATACTATTGGATTCAGTGTCTCTGGAGAATCCTAAGGAATGCATGGTATAATTGAAATAACAATATATATGTTTTCTTCCCCTTCACAAACTCTTCCCCCAAGTCAGTAGAATCACCCACATTACCTTGAGAAGGAAAAGCAATAATTATTTTTGACTCCTGAATGTTGTCAAAGAATCAAAAGGGAACGTTTAAGGGAAGTAACACTCAGAGCATCTATGATACCAGAAGAATTATAAAGAAAGTAGAGATGGTGAGAGGGTGGGGCAAGAGACAATGGTCTGGTTCTGGTGGGTCCCCTGGAAAGTTACAGAACCAATACTGAAAGCCCAAAGGACACTGGCAGGATGGCCAATGCCTAGGAACCAGGCCCAGGCCTGGAGGAGACTAATTGAGGGAACACCTTGTATCACCTGGATAGAGAACCACTCTGACTGCAATCTTGTAACTACAGTGTAGCCACCATCAGCTGCCCATGTGTTACCTGTGAATTGTGCTGAAAGACCTTTCAGAGGCCCATTCAAACTCCTCAATATAGAAGCAATCCTTCTTTTTCAATGGCCTGGATAATTTTAAGTCTATTCCCAAACAGAGGTTTGGGTTCCTGGGTACTCAGAGATAAGGAAGGGAAAGTCACTGCTTCAGTGAAATCATGAATGTTCATGTGATACCTCCTAATGTTGAGAATGACATCCAGTGATGAAGAAAGATAGTGAGATGGGAAGTATAGTCTTTACTAAGTTGAGTAGAGCAGAAAATGCTGCAAAGCTAAATATAACACAGAGAAATGCAGGATCACCTCTAGTATGGCTTTCTAAGTTCTGAGAAATCAAGCTTTCCTATAGCTACTTTGCTTTAAATCATAAATAGGTTTTCCGACTGGGTGCTCTTTTGCAAAAGAATAGAGCTCCACTAACATGCAGACAACATAGCTATATTATGATATCCATAGGTTCTTAGCTTATTTGTATAAATAAAATGATTTTGGCTGGGTGTGGTGGCTCACACCTGTAATCCCAGCACTTTGGAAGGCCAAGGTGAGCAGATCACTTGATATCAGGAGTTCGAGACCAGCCTTGCCAACATAGTGAAACCGGTCTCTATTAAAAATGCAAAAAATTAGCCGGGTGTGGTGGCAGGCATCTGTAATTCCAGCTACATGAGAGGCTGAGGCAGCAGAATCGCTTGAACCCAACAGGCAGAGGTTGCAGTGAGCTAAGATCACGCCATTGCACTCCAGACCAGGCAACAGTGCTAGACTCCATTAAAAAAAAAAATTAGCTGGGCATTGTGGTACACACCTATAATCCCAGCTACTTGGGAGTCTGAGACAGGAGAATGGCTTGAACCCGGGAGGCAGAGTTGCAGTGTGCCAAGATCACACCACTGCACTCCAGCCTGAGTGACAGATGCTCTGTCTCAAAAAAAATTTTTTTTGATTATTTCTATCCATAATATATCATATGAAGTGCTCCCTTTGGCAGCATATATACTAAAATTGAAACAATACACAGAAGATTAGCATGGCCCCTGTGCAAGGATGACACACAAATTCGAGAATTGTTCCAAAAAAAATTTTTTAACAGTAATAGTAGTATATGACATGAAAATGGCTAAACATAATTCACCAATTTTGAATTATGTGTTTTGAATAATCTGACTTAAAATATAGGTTAATCTACCTATGAGCAGACCCAGAAATTCCATTCATAAGGATGTATCCATGAGAAATGTGTGTATGTGTCCACCAAAAGACATGTACAAAAGGCCGGGCTCAGTGGCTCATGCCTGTAATCCCAGCACTTTGAGAGGCCGAGGCAGCTGTATCACCTAAGGTCAGGAGTTCGAGATCTGCCTGGCCAGCATGGTGAAACCCCATCTCTACTAAAAATACAAAAATTTAGCCAGGCATGGTGGTGGGCACCTATAATCCCAGCTACTTGGGAGGCTGAGGTAGGAGAATCGCTTGAACCTGGAGGCAAAGGTTGCAGTAAGACAAGATGGTGCCCCTGCACTCCAGCCTGGGCAACAGAGCAAGACTCTGTCTCAAAAAAAAAAAGTTTATTAAAAGAAAAAAAAAAAAGACAGGTACAAGAAAACACTTGGCAACTGTAGTCATTAAAGCTCAAGACTGGAAACAACCCAAATAACCATCAGTGAGAGACTAAATAAACAAATATAGGTTTAGACATACAATAGAATGCTATGCAGTGCTTTAAAAGGAATGAACTGTTTATACAACGTGAGTGAATTTCAAAAACAGTATGTTGAGTGAAGAAGGCCAGACATAAAAGTGCACACTGCATGATTCCATTTATGTGAATTTCAACAACAGACATGACTAATTAATGGTGGAGTAAGTCAGAAGAGTGAATGACTCTGAATGAGGCAAGTATGGACTAGATAAAAGTATCAAGGTTGCAGGAGCATCCACTAAAGTGAAGAAAATATTCTATATCTCGATCTGGATGGTGGTTCTCAGGTATTTACATATGAAAACTTCATCAAGCTATATACTTAATGATAGCATATATACTGAATGTATGTAATGTCTTTTTTTTTTTAAGTTATATATGGAGATAAAAAGCTGTGCACAAAATTCATCTTGGGGAGTCTCAGGGGAATAAAAAATAAAGTCAGTCATGCCCTGGTCTAGAATATATAGAACTGAGGTACCTGCTGATTTAAAGAGTCATGTTGCTACACATTTACACGATGTTATCAAAAAAAACTTTCAAATATGGCTAAATGGAAAATTATAAATGTGGCTCTTTGAAACAGCTGTTTGCTGTCCAGCAGCCTCTCATATAGTGATTAATTTTCTATTGCCACCGTAACAGGTTACCACAAACAGTAGCTTTAAACAACAAAAATGTCTTACCTCTCAGTTTCTGTAGATTAGAATACCAGATTGGCTCAGCTGACTTCTCTGCTCCCAATATCACAAGGCCAGAATCAAACTGTCAGCCCTCTGGGCTCTTATCCAGAGGCTGTGGAAAGACTCTTTCTAGGCCCATTCAGGTTATTGGCAGAATTCATTTCCTTGGGGTTGTAAGTCCCTATTTCTGTGTTGGCTATCAGCTAGAGACCACCTTCAGCTCTGAAAGATCTTTATCTCTTCCTTGCTAATAGCCTTTTGCATCTCAGAGCCAGCAATGACATGTCAAGTTCTTCTCATACTTAGAGTCTCTCTGACTTCTTTTTTTGCTGCATCTCTCTGCTGCCTCCAGCCATAGAAAATCTCTGCTTTTAACAGTTCATGTGATTAGATTGGGCCCACATGGATAATCCAGCATAATTTTCCTATTCTAATTACATTTGCAAAATCCTTTTTGCCATGTAACATAGAATTTTCACAGGTTCTAAAAATCAAGGTATATACATATTTGGGGTCTATTTTTCTGCCTATTATACATGTACAGTTCTATCTAGTATTCCTGGATGTGTGGTAGCAGGCGTTTATTCATTTATTGTTGTTTAATGTCCTTCTTGAATGAAAGAGAGAACTACTAATACATGTAGAGTCTGGTCATATTTAAATAATGGCATCTTCATCTGAGCTGTTAGGACATTCCTTAAATATAATAGTGTTCCTTTTGTGATACTACTTTAACAATTCTGATCTTAGTTTGATCTTGAAAAAGCCTATTTCTAGAGGATAGCTCTTCCCCACAAACCTACATAATTTTCTCCTGCTGAAGAGTATGTTTCAGACTGGGTACAGTGGCTCAGGTTGATAATTCCAGCACTAGAAGGCCAAGACAAGAGGATCACTTGAGCTCAAGAGTTGGAAACCAACATAGTCCAATCTCATCTCTACTAAAAATAAAAATAAATAGCCAGCCATGGTGGTGCATACCTATAGTACCAGCTACTCAGGAGGCTAAGGTGGGAGAATCGCTTGAGCCTGGGAGGTCGTGGCTATAGTAAACTGTAAGCGTGGCACTGCGCTCCAGCCTGAGTCACAGAGACCCTGTTTCAAAACGAAAAGAGTCGGTTTCAAAGGTAAGTAAACCTTGAAAGCAAAGGATCAGCTGTGCATGGGTAGCCATCCTCTCCTGTCTTCCCTAGGAAGGACGCAGTCCCTGCCTCTACCATTCCCTATGCTGCCAGCCAGGGACAGCAGCTAGACTGGCATGGACTGGCCTAGAGAAGAAAAGTAGAAAGAAAAGGAAAGTGGCTTCCTTTTCTGAGACATGGTTTTGCAGTTTTGCCCAGGCTAGAGTGCAGTGGCACAATCAGGATCAAGGCTCAGTGTAGCCTCAACCTTCTGGGTCAAGCAATCCTCCCATCTCAGCCTCCCAAATAACTGGGACCATAGGCAAGAGCCACCATGCCCAGTTAGGTTTTTCTTATTTTTTGTAGAGATTCAATCTTGCTGTGTTGGCCAGCCTGGAAGTGGCTTACTTTAATGCAATGATATATAGAAGATGATACATGAATCCTGGTCATCTTAACTGTCATAATTCTGAGTATGATCATAGAGTGGCACCAGAATCCACCTTAGTTGTGGCATAAGTAGACGTTGCCTTGGCCACATTTCCTCTTCCCTTTCACCAAGCCCTTCTATTGATTCCAGGTCTTTACATAAATTTTTTCAACCAATTGCCAATCAGAAAATCTTTGGATCGACTTGTGACCTGGAAGCCCCCAATTCATGTTCCACACAAATCAATGTACATCTTACATATATTGATTGATGTCTTGTATCTCCTGAAATATATAAAAAAGAAGCTATAGCCTGACCACTTTGGGCACATGTTCTCAGGACCTCCTGAGGCCGTGTCACAGCCAGTCCTCAAGCTTGGCAAAATAAACCTCTAACCTGAATGAAGGCCAGGCATAGTGGCTCATGCCTGTAATTCTAGCACTTTGGGAAGGCTGAGCTGAGGCAGAAGGACTGCTTGAGCCCAGGAGTTCAAGACAAGCCTAGGCAATATAGGGAGATCGTGTCTCTACAAAAAATTTAAAAATTATCTGAGCACACATGGTAGTGCACACATGTAGTCCCAGCTACTCGGGAGGCTGAGGTGGGAGAATCACTTTAGCCCGGAAGGCAGAGGTTGCAGTTAACTGAGATTGTACCACTGCACTCGGCACAGGGTGGCAGAGCAAGAACCTGTCTCAAAAACATAAGTCAATTGATTGAGATCTGTCTCAGATACTTTTTGGTTTATAATACACTACCCATAAATTATGGTTACGTATTTCTCTGTTTAAGAGGCCAAGGCAGGCAGATCACTTGAGGTCAGTTCAAGACCAGCCTGGCCAATGTGGTGAAACTCCATCTCTACCAAATACATGTATATATATTTGGTATATATATATATAGATAGATAGATAGATAGATAGATAGATAGATAGATAGATATTTGGTATATAGAGAGAGATATTTGGTACATATGTATTAGCTATATATATATTAGAGAGAGCTTATATATATACATATATATGCATATGTATGTATATATATAAGCTGGGCGTGGTGGCCCGAGCCTGTAATCCCAGCTACTTGGGAGGCTGAGGCAGGAGAATCACTTGAACCTGGGAGGCAGAGGTTGTAGTGAGCCGAAATCATGCCACTGCCCTCCAGCCTGAGAGACAGAGCTAGACTCTATCTCAAAAAACAAATAAAAGAAGAGGACATAGTCAATCTAGAGAATTGAGAGTAGCTTATTTAAAAAAAACAGACAGGAAATATACCAAGTGTAGAAAGGGCATGAGACAGAGTAAGGGCAGGGCTTGGCTTCCTCTCCCACCTCCACCACCCCCGCTGGTGGAACATTCTTTCATACATTCCTGCTGATCACAAAACCCACATCACTGCTTCACTGACGTTATCCATGCTAACCCCAAGGCTTTAGTCATGCAAAGAAAGTAGCCACTCTTCTGTGCCCTCATAATGTTTAACTATGCCTTTTACTTAAAGAATTCCAGGAACTGGCCTTAGGAAACCTAAATACCAAACCAAAGTGCAGTGTCCAACCTTGGGAAAGAATGATTTGTAAGCAGCCTTGTTGCCACTGGCCAGACCACCAGGTGGCCCATTACTCAAGATAACTATCGCAGCCAGACATGTGGACCTGCATACACTTCCCCCTACATGCTTCTCCCAGGCCAGCCTGCATACCTTACCCCTGTGTCAATTCCCCGTGCTTTATCTGATTAAAAAGTCCCTACTGGCTTTTGTGGGGAGCCAGCTTGAGGATCCTCATATCTCGCCTCCACTGTTTCCCTTGCCCTTGAGCACAAGCCCCAAAATAAAAGCCTTGTCTGGGAATTTGCTTGGCCCTGTGTTAAATTTCATCACATGGAGAGCTAAGAAGTATGTGATCAGCATCTCTGGTCATATCCAACAACCCAATAGAAAGGTGGTTCAGCCGGGAGCGGTGGCTCAAGCATATAATCCCAGCACTTTGGGAGGCCGAGGCGGGTGGATCACGAGGTCAAGAGATCGAGACCATCCCGGTCAACATGGTGAAACCCCGTCTCTACTAAAAATACAAAAAATTAGCTGGGCATGGTGGCACGTGCCTGTAATCCCAGCTACTCAGGAGGCTGAGGCAGGAGAATTGCCTGA